AACAATGACAAAGAAATATCAAGATTAATTTTGATTAGCGATCTTTGTTATACACCACATTTTTGAGATGAAATAGTTTGGGAATCATTCATTACAAGATAACTCAGTGTTGAATACAAAAAAGGGACACATTTTTGTGTATATGACGTTCATCAATTCATAGCCTGAATGTCTAGATGTGTTAATATTTCTAAGAGTATGAGTTCAGCATTCGATAGACGTCTTTGAAATTAACATATGGATTATTTCAGTAATCATAAAATTCAATTGAACATAAAGGTAGACAACACATAGTTATGTTCTGAGCTTACTGTTATTCATTGAAATTGACGATACTTACAACGTTCCCACCTTTGTTCACAGGAATAAGTGAATTGGTCAATGCACATGGAAACGACTAAATTGAGAAACTTATATTTTATAGATACATAAAGCAGTTTTAGGTTTGTCAAATCTAATCTTAATTTCTGTGCATAGTAGGATAGTTGCTATATTAAGAGTGTTTTCAAAGGCGAATTAATTGTTTCATTTATGGTTTCGTCAATATTGTTCCTTGTTCAGAAAGTCTGTAGTGACCTACTTTTGTTAACAGAACGCGATTGGTTCAATGAAAACAATTATTATTATAACCAATTGTACCAGTGACTGTTTTACTGTGCTCGTTTGTTTAACTGTGCTAATAACAGCCATTTTAGTCTTCCATTGTATTCCATTGCTTCTACGCGGTTTTCGACTACGCACGTATCTTTTCTTGCCGATCGCACCTGTACTCCTTTGGCACGATCTCGGTATTCTTTCGATACCACGAGATTGCCAACAAATATATTATGACTACTACTATTATCTGCCTTCTGATTTTTGGCCTACCGGAATCTTATTGGTCTATTGGCACGTAGTCTGGTAGCGGTGTTCATAGTCAAGCTCAACTCGACACCACGCTACAAGTCAATGAGAGTGAGGATATAGGCAATCTATTTATCCATGTCTCATAAAGTCTTAGGCTGGATGTTTGGTACTGAATAGATAAAGGATGTCAATTTGGTCAAATTTCATGTGTTATCCAAGCAAATTTAGTCGAAAATGTAGAATCTGATGAGTGATATGGTTCAAACGTGTTCATGCTTGGTCATAAAATAAAGTGATCAAACACGGTGAAACAGAGATCACATTCTAATATACTTCCCTTTGTCTACATAACAATGAGGTTAGAAATAAGAATTTCTGTATCAAATGAGTATTTGGAAACCCAAGTACTTATGCTATATGAATAAGAACACTCACAATCAAATATCAGTCTCAGAGAATAAAACTCTACCAAAACACAAAAGTAGAAGAATGACATTAGGATGGATCATGAGATTCTTTAATCATATACACTTTATTTGATCTTATCATGATAATTGCTGTGAAGTTATTCTCTTTTCAACAGATATTATGTAATAAACCAACTTATTTTAGCTCATTACTCATTACTACTGATTATTATTTAGTAACTAGTTCATTTCAAATGATAAGTGATCTTTGGCTAGTGATCATTGTACGATTTTCATTTATTATTCCTCCTTCAAGAATTAAATTCAACACCTTTCTTTATGTGCATGACTGCTTAACCTACAGACCATTTGTCAACGCAACAATGCTATTTGTGTTTAACTGAAATCAATTCATATATGACTGAAGATGCCATCTGGTGCATGCAAGTTTTCAATAGGTGTCTAACTTAAATCGTTTCATTCACTCACTGAAATATGTTCTAATTGTTAAAATATATGTCACTCTAATAAGCTGTGTGGTCAAGTTGTCAAGAACGAGTACACTACTAGATGATCATTTGTATATCAAATTGAATAGTAACATTGTTCAACAAAATGCAACTTAGGTCTAAACATTACCAATTCATAACCTTTCCTAATGACTAAGTATTTTGATAATAGCAAGAATATCACTCGTATCATACTCAACTACATTCCTGACACGAGATAGATTTAATCAAATGGAATATTTCTATTTCAGTCTGACTTTTACACTTCTCTGTCAAAAACAGAACGTCTTCATTATGCTCATGCTCGAAACTATTGTCATAATCTCAATCCAAATGTGTGTGGTGAAAGTTGAATTAGTCAGCGTGATCCACTGCTGAACATGGACGATAATCAATATATCAGATGAGTTTTGTGGGTATATAGTAATTTCAATTGTTAAGATCATAAGTCACTTGAATCCAGACCATCATGGAAAACCTGGAAACACTGGACGGCCGTTTCGTTCTATTGTGGGACTCTTCAGCAGTGCCCATCCACGACCTCGCCCCCTGCGAGATTCGAACCTAGGACCTACTGATTTCGCAAGCGAGCAGTTAACCACAAGACCACTGAGCTGGCCGGCATTCAACAGTGTTAATGTCTAACTTCAACTAATCCAAGAAATTGAGTGACACATCCACCATTGTCTTCAGTGAGTTACTATTTCACAACAGACCTGGTTGAACTCCACTGGTCCCTACTTCACACCAGGACTCCAGGATCTACTTCTTGAAGCCAGTCACTAATGAGCATATGTTGATTAATATCAGATGGGTTTTGTGGATATTATAGTAATTTCAATGATTAAGGTCATGAGTCAGTTGAAGCCAGACCACCATGGATAACCTGAAAGCACTGAACAGCTTGATATTATGATGAAATAGAAAATCACTCTTATCTTTTGTTGAAATTGTCGAAGTGATCGATCGTCATTACTCTCATAGAGAGTATTATAAAAAATTATCCATCAAATGATTTGTCTGAATATTCAACACCTTCCAACCATAATTCTTTAATCTGAGATGATTTTGTGTGTTTTCGTATTATACTACTTATCAATAAACAGTAGTACATGACATTTATCAACTATACATGATAAGTACGATAAAGACTATTAGGTCTGTCCTGTAATATGACATATAAATCATTCGTATCCATGTGACAATATTTGATTTGATTTGTCAACATGACACAAAGATTTCTATTTTGTTTTTTTCACTACTCAGTACCTTAACATCCTTCAGTAAATTTTCATGAGTTCTGCACAGAAGTCACTCATGTCAATTGGGTATAATGCTGGATATAATATTCTTAATAGCTGCCTAAACATGCATTAAATTAACGAACACGTTTTCTCAATCACATTATGATAAAATTGATATTAGGTAACCATGCTATTTTAAGCCTGATTTGTATGAATGTATTATAGGAATAGTGTTTTGGTGAGAGTATAATCTATGAGCGGCTATTGAGCAACGCTAAAGTGACTATTAGAATGTCTACCTATTTACAAGAACTAAATGATGGTTATATAGAAGTGTGTAGAGCAAGGATTATGATTTATAGTTGATGGTTAAGATAACGAATCACATTTATAGTTTTTATCACGAACTGACATCAGCTAAAATGCCAAGACGTTATTTAGATAACTGAGTATTATTATTATTATTTGAACACATAGAAATTGGTACAAAGAGGCACCAAATACATACGCGCCACACAAATCTCATTTGATATGTGTGAGGGCTGTGATACTGCACGGGTGCCCAAACCGAAGTAAGTGGTTTTCTTAGAGGACCACACCCCTAGCCTTTGACCTGAACGTCTGATCCACAAGGCAGTGGAGCATCGTAAGGAGATGCAGTCCCATGGTGGCCAGCCGGTGACTAACGATTGGTTCATACGTCATTTGTTCTTTCGGGATACTTGAGCTAGCCCATGTGCACCATTGGTTTGGGATCCGGTTAAAGCGCCGGACATTCGCTTTTCGTCCTCTCATTTTCGTAAACAACACCTGTGCCACGAGAAGGCAGTGAGTAGGACTTCCCTGACAGAGGCTATATACGCGTGGCCATTTGAGAGCATTTGGAGAGGTAGAGATAACTCACCCTACTCTCGGCCATACCAGGGCATTTGTCGGGCGAATTAGTAGCTAAGCACCAATTCACAATGAGAAGTAGTATAATATTTTGCTCTTTCGGATTTAAGATTATGTTGTAGCCTAGTTAGAACTCCGTGTTCAAATAATGTCAGATAATGCACCTATAGAATGCTGGACCTGATTAAGTAATCAATAATTTGCCTATCGTCGATGGAATTATCTGCATAACATTTACAGAACTGTGACTATTTGTCTATCTCAATAAACGATAAGCAAATATAGTGTAGTGAATGAGAAGAAACAAGTGAAAACAACTGAATGTATTTGAACAGACAAAATTACAGGACAACTTAACAGAATCTGAGAACCATATAGTAAATACATCATTTGCAAAACGTCAACTAATTGTCTCAAACTTCATTGTCCCTTCATTTCTACACCAATCAATATCTGTTCTCATTCTCTTTTCTTCGTTCTTTACAACCTTCTGCTGTCAGGCACTTTACTTTTCCATTGATGAAACATACTACTTATATATGTCAATATCGGTAGCACACACCATAACAATATTAGAGAAGAAGTATTAACTAATTTTATACTGAACAAACAGATTGTAACTAACAGTAATATCTAAGATAGTTATTTCATCCTATTTATCATTTACTATCTAAATCTATGTATATATCTCTCATAATTGGAAAATCAGGACTCGAACCTATCATCTTACACTTTGAACAAAATCAAACAAAAACATCTTGTTAAACCCTATACAATATAATATACAAATAAAGTTTAATTAGATCAACTTATCATTAAGAACAATTGATAAGTAAACATTATTTATGTTGATCTTATATTTCAAGTACCTATAATGATAATAAATCATAAATGAACCTTTGATATCAACATTTCAGCATAGATGTACATTTCATTCAAAATGTTATTGTATAGAAGAACTTTGTTCAACATTCTAAAGGTTGAAAGGGGGGGGGTTTAAAGTATGGAACAAAATATCAAATCTAACATTATCATACCATCTCAAATCAAAGTTCATTATTTCAATTTAGTATATATAAGATAATGATTATATGATAATTGTTGTATTCGAACAAGTACATTCATAAGTGTTCTTTAAATATGTTTATATCTGTATTGTGTATTACTTCATTAATAACTCTTCTTGAAGCTCATATTTTAACAAAGAATGAAAAATTTGAACCATTATCAAATGAAATTATCTCATATATTAATCAACATGTAGGTCCTATATTTTGTTGTTGTTGTTGTTGTTGTCGTTGTTGTTGTATGTTCTATCTATGTATGATCAATGGTTTTACTGTTATGTACACAATAAGACGGCCGTTTTGTTCTAGTATGAGACTCCTCAGCAGTGTGAGTCCATGATCCTGCTCCTCGCGAGATTCAAATCCAGGACCTATCAGTCTGGCGCCAACCACTTGACCAACTAGATCACTGAGACGGCATCCAACGGTGTTAATGTCTAACTTCACGAAGTTGCGCCACCATACACCATTGTCTTCAGTGAGCTGATATCTCACAACAGACCTGGTTGAACTCCACTAGTCACGGGTTCTCATTAGAACTCCAGGAGTATCTCTTGAAATCAGTCACTAGTGAGCAGATGTAGTTTAAAATTATCAGAATTGATTTTCATTGAATCGTCATTTCAGCTGGGGTTTTTTTTTATTATTCTTCAGCCAAATGCTCAATGGAAAGCTGAGAAAAGCAAACGTTTCCATTCACTGAATGATGCACGTATTTTAATGGGTGCAAGAAAAGAAGAACCAGAATTAAGAAAAAGAAGACGTCCTACAGTTGACCATAATGATTGGAATGTAGAAATTCCATCAAGTTTTGATTCTAGGAAGAAATGGCCTCGTTGTAAAAGTATCTCAGCCATTCGGGATCAATCAAGATGTGGATCATGTTGGGTGAGTCATAATGATCGCATTATTTGAAAAACGTATACAAAGTTCGTATGAGTATCAATATTTCTACACATTTTTAATTTTGTAGGGGATCTGACAAAACGTCAGATAGTATCAGAGTTAGATTCTTTAGAGCTGTATGACAGCACTTAGGTTAATGTTGACTATCACAACTGTGAACATATGTTCAGTGACTAAACTAACTAACGAAACAGATCATGTTGAACTTAAGTGGCTAGTAAATATTGATCGGTCATTCGACGTATATACGCTATGAAAATTAAAACGTTATGATATTGTCATTGTTATTTTCTAGGCTTTCGGTGCTGTTGAAGCAATGAGTGATCGAACCTGTATACAGTCACGTGGCAAACAATCTGTGGAATTAAGTGCAGTGGATCTAGTGAGTTGTTGTGAAGCTTGTGGATTTGGTTGTAATGGTGGATTCCTTGGTCCTGCTTGGGATTATTGGGTAGAGGAAGGTATTGTTACTGGAAGTTCAAAAGAGAATCATACAGGCTGTCAACCATATCCATTCCCAAAATGTGAACATCATGCTAAAGGAAAGTATCCAGCATGTGGTACAAAACTCTACAAAACTCCTCGTTGTAAACAGACTTGTCAAAAAAGTTACAAAACTTCATATGCTCAAGATAAACATCGAGGTAAGTAATATTTTTGACAATGATTATATTTCATCACTAAGATAAATCAATCATAATATTATCATCAATAAGTTACTTAGAATTGATGCTTTCAAATGTGAAATCTCTCTATTCAATAATGATAACAATTTCATTTTCATCTGTTAGGTCATTCATCTTACAATGTTGCTGATAATGAAATGTCTATTCAAAAAGAAATTATGAAATATGGACCAGTAGAAGCAAGTTTTACTGTTTATGAAGATTTTCTAAATTATAAATCTGGAATCTATAAACATATTACTGGTGATATAGTTGGTGGACATGCTATACGTATAATTGGATGGGGTATAGAAAAACGAACTCCATATTGGTTGATTGCTAATTCATGGAATGAAGATTGGGGTGAAAATGGATATTTTAGAATATTACGTGGTCATGATGAATGTAGTATTGAATCTGAAGTAACAGCTGGTCGAATTAATTAATTAATTAATTCTATTCATCATTAATTATTATGACAAAATGATACTTAGAGTTAATTATGGTCATTATAGATGTATACTGAGAAACGTTCTATATTCATATTATCTTTTCATTCATTTTATATTATAAATAAACTATTGTGAATTCTTACTAAACTCTTTACTGAATAGATGTATGTGTTATGTGTATTATCGTTATAAGATGTATATCCAAATGAACAAAGTGACAAACAGTTGAATCACTTTAGACAAACTACTTCACGGTTATCTATATGCCTTCATTGAACGAATCCCTGTTCATTCCAATTACATGTTTATTCAATTGAATTCATACATTTAATTCTTCATCAAATGTAGAAAACATCAACTTTAAGAATTGAATCTTTTTTCAACCTCTAAAGTGTTATGTGTTCTCATTAGGTTAAATAGAAATTAATCACTAGATGATGGTTGGTGGTAGTCGACAGGGTTTTGTGTTACTTGGCACTCGTCAGCAAGATGTACCTGTAATCTTTGAGGGAACTGATACTCCCTGGCGGTTTCGATCCCTTGTCACCCAGCTTCAAAGTCACAGATCGCGATCAACCCCTGTAGGACTGAGATGTAATCACAATTGATTGATCACTGGGTGGTGACCAATGTCACGCGTGTCTAGTTCTTATTATTAATGCAGATCGAATGCTATCGATCATGTTGCAATGTGTCCAAGTAGCATGAAACCCAGGTCCAGGGTTTCCTGTCGACTACCTCCAACCACCATCTAATCTTATAATAGTGCCCGCAATGTCGAGTCACCTAGATTGGTGGCCACATTGTAACATGATCGATAGAATTCGATATGCACTAATAATAAGGACTAGACACGCATGATATTGGTTACTCAGTGATCAATCAATTGAGAAGTTAATCACTTCCATCTATGGAAATTCCCCATACATGAATTCAGATTTGTATGTTGCATAAGATTGTTAAGGATGAAATCTTGAGAAATTGTGTACATAGAAGTACAACTATAGTGAACAACAACCTAAATGGGGACAACTGAATATAATTGAATAAAAAAACTACAGAATCACTTAGTCAAATCTGAAAACCATACAGTTATCACTTCATTTTCAAAATGTCAATCAATCATCTCAAATTTCATTGTTCTTTCGTTTCCATATAAATCATTCTCTGTTCTCGTTCACTTTTCTTCCATCTTCTTAACCTTTCACTTTAGATTAGTACCTAAGAATGGGAGCTGACCATTGAGTAAATACACAGTATGCAAATGCTTATGGCAGATAACAAATGTATCATCCATTAATCTACAATAGCGTGTAGTTTGATCATTTGCATGCTTAAGTTTTATGTCACAGGTTCTTCATAAATATATCAGTCGGAATTAGGACCACGGCGCTATCCATGGAGATTCTATCAACTTGACTGTACAGTACATTGTTGAGTCGAGTGTTTACTTTTAGTACCTAAGAATGGGAGCTGACTAGACTTATTGATTGGAAAGTGAAGAGTACAGCATATTGACATACAATTCCGGCTGTTTATTTCAGAAAGATCATTATAAAGAGAGCAGTGATGACGAAAGATACCATCAATTCATCGGGAACATTTAAGCTGTCAAACCTTTGTAAAAATTCGAAACTACCCTTCAAACTGTAGGTAACTAAGTTCTTATGGACTGGTTCTAAACACCATGTGAACCAGAAGATGACTTTGTGAGAAAGTGATGTACTCATAGATAATAATGACTCGATCCAGATGTTAGATTTCTGTATTGTTATTAGTTTATTCTGTTATAAGGTCTTCTCCAAACCAATTCTTACTTTATATACTTTAGAACAATCTCTTCATTCATCAGTTTTTCCATTCACTCAATTCTTAAAACTTAAGTACACTCTTTAAATCTTATCTAGTTATTACGTAATCCACATTATCAACTTCTAGATCTAAACAATTACCAACTCATAACTATCTATAGTTAGTATTGATAATCTAAGACATTACTAGAAGGGGTTTTGTGGAGAATTGGTAATTTCAATAGTTGAAATCATGAATCAATTGAAGCTAGACCACCATGGAAAACCTGAAAGCACCGGACGACCGTTTTGTCCTAGTATGGGGCTCTTCAGCAGTGCGCATCCACGACATTGTAATTTTCTTCCGTTATCAGCGTAAACTATTTAACGTTATATCATACCTTAATATTACACTGTGAACATATTAGTGGTGGTAAACAGATAATATTATTCATTATTATTACGTGAACACATAAATATTGGTACAAAGGGGCAACGAATACATATGCGTCACACAAGTAACGTGATTTGTGTGTGAGGACTGGAATACTGCCTGGATGCCCAAACTGAAGCAGGTGGTCTTCTTAGTCGGCAATACCCGGAGCCACCGACCTAAAGGTCTAATCAACAAGGCAGTGTAGCAATGTAAAGAGATGCATTTTCATGATAGACGGCTAATATGTCATTTGTTCCTACAGGATACTGGAACCCATGTACACCGATCGTTTTAAATCACGGTTTTCCAACTCCTCTAGGTGAATTCTCCATGTCCATTAACCCAGTTAAAGCGCCGGACATCCGCTTTTCGTCCTCTCAATTTCGTAAACAACAGTAATACTACAAGGTAGTGAGTAGGACATCCTTGGCAGTGGTTGTACGCATGTGGCCACTTGAGAGCATTTGGAGAGGGAGAGCGAAGTCTCCCTAGTCTCAGCCGTACCAGGGAATTTGGGGGCAAAATAAGTATACGAATATGCAACCTTAAACTTACTCATTAAAGTTTCTGAATTATTACTTGTTTACCGTAAACAGTAGTACCGTGTCCATCATTAAAATGTTAGATTGTAATATTCTTTTTAGGGAGCATTTCTATGTGACCAAGATTATCTCAAGATAAAAATATATACTATTGACATAGGAAATTCTAACAATTTTCATCCAGACTAACTAGTAAGATAAGCAAAGATGGATAATGGCTAGCAGTGGAATACAGGACGCGCGTTTCGTCCTATTTGGGACTCGTCAGTTAGATGTACCTGCATCTCAGAGTTGATGCTCACCCTGGAACTCGAACCGAGTACCGTCCGCTTCAAACGCCATCGCCTTATCCACTTAGCTACTGAGTCCTGATGGCCACTTGCTTGTACAACGGGGTGAAGTTTAATTCATATGATATTGTTTTACTTGAATCTTCCCATTGATGTTTAGGACTGAAATTGATCACTCTCTTATTGGTATATGTGTATACTGTGCGTATGACTCAATATTACCTTAATTCACAACCTTTAGTAGTAAGTAATGATGGATAGTGACTAGAAGTGGGATACAGTTTGACGCGCGTTTCGTCCTATTTGGGACTCGTCAGTTGGATGTACCTGCATCTCAGAGTTGATGTTCACTCACGGACTCGAACCCAGACAATATCGAGGCAATAAGCACAGTATGCACGTATGGCAATAAGAGACTGATCAATTGCAGTCCTAAACATCAATGGGAAAATTCAAGTAAAACAATATCAAGTGAATTAACTAGTACGATGTTTATAATGGAATAGAACGTCCAATAACTGATATTTTCTTTCCTTTCTAAGTATATCACAATTCTGGAAAACATCTAAATGAATTGATTAATTTCCTTTCAAAGGAGTACTGTCTAAGTAGTTTATATTACTCTGGAACTATTGTCTTATGTCACGACGAAAAGCCTTCAATCTTACAGAGAGTAAGAAACCCATCATTGGTGAAGAGATATAAGAATAAATTTGTATTGAAGATAACTGTTATTCGGTATTTATGTCAAGTAGATTGTCTAAGATCTACCAACCGAACACAAATCATGTTGACACCTCTGAAAGCTGACTACCTTCTTCTTCCTTCTAATTCACTAAAAGATGATTCCTGACATTGGTTTAATTTTGAATGGATAAACACAGCAATGATACATAAACTAATTCATATGCACGGTTTTTCGCAACGATAATACGACTTTCACAATTGAGTCCTTCTTAGTGTTAATCGAATTCTATTAGCAAATTTGAAATGTAGCTAACTAGTCTAGGTGACTCTACATAGCGTACATTATGTTGAGATGTAAAGAGATCGTTGAAGATGCTGATCAATTTAAGAGCCTCACTATGCTTTGAACAATCGGTTTTATTCACCCTATCAAAAATACGGTCAATAAATTGAGAATCTCAATGGTTAAGATTATGAGTCAGTTGAAGCTAGACCACCATAAAAAACCTAGAAACACTGGACGGCCGTTTCGTCCCACTGTGGAACTCCTCGGCAGTGAGCATAAATGACCTCGCCCCCTGCGAGATTCAAACCCAGGGGAATCTCCCATGTTAAGTTATTATAGCTTGTAGCCTGTGTGTGCCCTATTAATAAATAAGTAATGATACCGCTAATTAGGGTGCAGTAACTTATAAATTAACAGGGCACACACGTCACAAGTTATAACAAATGGCGACGGGGTAAAAAATATATACGACCCAAAGTCAGCCGTTAATTGAACGAAATTCAGTCCAATTATTTTAAGCAATCAGCATCCAAATTTGTCATCAGTGTCCTTGAACGACATTGGTTATTATTCACACAGTAATTTTCATTACCGGTGCGGATTCAAAAAATGACTCTCCCTTCCGATCGATTACAGCTGCTATTTGAGCGACAGTTGGAGTTCTTAGTCAAATTACGCACACAGTTGCTGAATCACTCATGGTTTGGAGATGTGACGGAAGTGAATGGATTAATTTCTCAATTGCACACTGAGCTGGAAAATGATCGCAGCCTCCATGAATCCTTAACAAATTGTACTTTAAACGAAACAGTAGTCATTCAAGATCCACCTAGTGGTCCAGTACTCTCCATTTCAGAAACATGCCCGGCAATGGATTCAAACTCCATTATCCCCGAAACAGCATGTGCACAGTGACTTATCCAGCTCACAAAAAGATTCCCTGTTAAATGTTCATGGAATTGCCGCAGTAGCTACCCATGAAACAAAAAAATCGAACAGTACACTGAATGCAGCTGCTCAAAATGGATCTCATCATTCTGCGACAGAAGTTTCTGACGAAACTAATTATCGAGATTCTCTTTTACCAGAAAATATGTCAGATGCATCAAATGATGATCAGAAACCTAATACGATTTTTATTACATTATTGATCCATTATCTACCAATGAGGTTCCCAATAAATGTGGCCACAATATTTCAGAAGAATCAAGCTTCGATTGCCTCATATCAAGCGTCCTTCAGCTTCCCCACTTAGTCACTTTCAGTCGATTCTCTGTTCAGTGCGACAAATGTATTTCAGATAAATTCAAATTAATTGCCACTTGGAAATATGAGGATCCAACACTGTTTCGTGGGGGAGGATGAACTAGAAAAATTTAAATCCGGATTTTCAAAAAAGGGGAGGTGTGTTAGGTCCCGAAAAGCATAATGGATGATAACTTCTGGGATTCATTTATGGACCAATACTATGAGTATATTTTTATCGTATAATTGTTAATTAACTAAACTATTCATATTCACGTCCCTCTTGTCATAAGCTTTATTTTGACCTATGAACTATTATTATACGTTTTACCATTCTTAGATTATGCCCTGTCTATTAAATACTACCTCCCTCATTCACAGCCACTTTTGGCCAAATCTTGTACAAATGTTGTTCCCTATTTTATGGTACAATGTGCTCTGTCCAGTCGGTATATAAAGCCAGTATGTCTGAAATAAATTATTCATATCGCAGAGGCTGAGATTGGTGTTCTGAACTTAACTGGCTGGGCTAGGCAGAAAGCAAGACCGATAAGTACTCTAGACTGTTCACACGAGTTTTACGCGTCATTGATCCGATCGATAAGCCACTGCTCTCTGATTGGCGGTATTATTACGTTATACATTCACTTGGCACACTCATGCTACAAGTTATAACATAAGTAGGTAACCATCTATAAGAAAATAAGTAGAACTTTATGTAGATGGCTTAAATTCAAAACTTTTGTAATATTTATATGTATATATATATGTACATTATCTATTCAGTCCATTTATGTAAACATTCAACATTGGTACAAACATAATATAAACGCATATTTTCTTCTGCTTTCAATGTTTGTGATTGAAAAAATACAGCTTCTTGTTTACCGCATCGACGACATATATGATCTTCTGTTCGGGGCAGTGTTGGATCATGAACAACATCCGGCACAATTAAAGCTAATTCACTTTAGATGGATGAAATAGATTTTTTGTTTTAAAAAATATTTCATGAATAAATTAACAGAAAGCGATTATAATTTGAAGTTGTACATTTCATAATACAATTTTACATTTTCAAGACTATGAAACTGCTAATGAGTATGTATATCCCCCCCCAATCTAACTAGCATTTGAAATTGTATGGAGTAAACTCCTTGAAAAATTTTCTTGCCCCCAAATGCCGTGGTATGGCCGAGAGTGGGGAGAGTCTGCTCACCCTCTCGAAATACTCTCTAGTGGCCACGCGTATATAGCCTCTGCCAGGGAAGTCCTACTTACTGCCTTCTCGTGGATAGGGTGTAGTTTACAAAATTAATTGATTGAAAAGCGGATGTCCGGCGCTTAAACCGGCGGCTTAGGGAATATGGAGAGTTCACCTAGAGGAGTCAGAAAACTCTGATTCAAAACGAATGGTGTGTATGGGCTCCAGTATTCTGAAGGAACAAGTGGCGCATGAACCAATTATCGGTCACCAGCTACCATGGGACTGCATCTCCTTACGATGCTCCACTACCTTGCGGATCAGACGTTCAGGTCGAAGGCTCCGGGTGTGGCCCCCTAAGAAAGCCAACTGCTTCGGTTTGGGCACCTGAGCAGTGTCCCAGCCCTCACACACAAATCGAATGATTTGTGTGGCGCATATGTATTTGGTGCCTCCTTATGCCAACATTTATGTGTCTCAATAAATAAATTATTCTACATATATCGAAAACCGATCTTTGACACCATCAAGACAAAACGTTGCATTCATCAACAACATAGTGTAAGGAATCCTCAGTTATACTACTTATGCTTTGACATTAAGGAGACCAATATTCCTTGAGTGACTGATGTTTCACTAACAACCTCTCTGGTATTTTCAAACCCATCATTATCGGATGAAAAGCGTTGAATTGTCATCATATGATATGGTGGGGCGGTATGACAAGATTGTGCCAAGTTAACAGATAATGGGGTAATATGGTTAGTCGGGTGGAGTCTCTGAAGTTGTGAAACTAAGCGACTTGAAACTCTATCGGTTGATGCAAAATAGAATGCAGAGACGAACCTGTTAAACAAATAATAAGATTCGTCTTTGAATTGCATTAAAAATTAGTAATATTCTCAATGGAATCCCGTCACGGTCAAAATAGTGGTCATCTGAAGCGATATCTTCTCTTCTAATAACGTTACTAATACATCTGTGACAAGATTAGAAACCGTAGAATCGATAGTCAGCATTCATATTTTACACCGTACGCTGTGGCTTCGAGCTACGTTTTAAAACCAATTTGGTGCATCTCTATACTTTAATTATATCTGAGGAGTCCTTATAAATGCTCAAAACTGATTACATATGAGTTTGTTTGTTTCCCTTGTGGAGTTCGATTTTCACATTGAAATTGCGTTAAAAAAATATGAGTAAAATATCTTATATTTTCTCTTATGATTCACCTACAGGATACTGAATTCTGACATAATTAAAAGTTATCATAAGAATGCTAATAAGTAGAACGAATAAATAAAAACGACTAGAAACAGTAGTATGGATACTTACTCGACTTCCTGTTCGAGTTTGTTGATATAAACACAGGGATTATCTGCTTCCTGAGAATAATCACAATTACGACAGGCGTAGTATAATGTTTTTGTACGTTTATCCTCTTTAGGATACAACATGTTGTTGCATTCACTGCAGAACAAAATCCCAACATGACACTGGTTTGATTTCACATCATACTAAAATATAAGTTAAAAACGCTATCAGTAGAATTTCCTGAACATACAGTTTCCATCTTTAGTAAATCAATCCTTCAAGCGTACTTCTCGAAAATGCTGGAAATTCCAACCAAGTTAACTATAAGATTAATATATCAGACGACCACAATTTATGTAACTGAATTGCGAAAATTGACAAGATATTTGATGAACACCTAATAACAATATAAATAATTTATTTGATAAAGTCAGTCAGTTATATGCAACGTAAAACCTACAGCATATAAATGCGTCGGATCGAGTTGTGACACAAAATTAGCAGTGAAATAAAATTATCATGACAAACCTCATTGTGTAGTAAGAGGAAAAAATGGAACAATATTTCGGAATTCAGGAGCTAAGAGAAGATAAATCAGTCAGTCAGTCAGTAACAACGTGGAACTTCGTACGTACGTACATCAGTTCGAGTTGCCATACCACATTAGCACAGAGATTCAGTTTTTGATTCAAATCCCATAGTGGTAGAGGTACTGAAAGTCTAAGTAGAGATAGGGGACATTAAGGTTTGATGATGTTATTAAAGGAGTATAGTCCAGTGGAATAAATTGGGAAAGAAAATAAAGGACATGAAGAATTCAGAAGATTAGAGTTTGAGAGAACACAAAGAGTGGATGCACCTGCGCCATTGCAAACGATTTTGAGCCATGTCATTCAAGGTCTCTAACCATCGGTTGCTATCGTCTCGCGGTCCCCAACCAGGTAGTCTACACCTACCAACATGACTCAGTCCACTTGTCAGTGACTTCATGGATTTGTGCCATGTTTTGGTCTGGCCGCACCTAGCTTTCTTCCAACCTACTCGTACATCATAAAACATCGCACGTCCGGGCAAGCGTAATACATGTCCCAGCCATCTCAACTGATTAAGTTTCACTACTTCCTCAATTGATTTGCCATCCTTACCTAGTACCCGTTTCCTAACAACTGCATTACTTACTCGGTGGTCTCAGGATATACGAGCGATGTTTCGAAGACACCTATGGTCAAATACTAGTAACCTACGAATATCCTCTACTCTTACTGGCCATGTTTCACTGCCATAAAGTAGGACGGAACGAACTGCTGCGCAGTAAACACGTCCTTTGGTTGATAAACGGATATCTCGCCTACGCCACAAATGACGCAAGTTGGCAAAAGCTAGTCGAGCCTTTTGTATCCGTGCTGAGATTTCGTCACACACCAAACCACAAGGGCTGATGAGACTTCCGAGATAAGTGAAGCGGTCGACACGCTCAACTACTTCACTCCCTATCACTAGTCCGGGTGTCGACGCAACCCAATCCTGAAGTAACATTTTGCATTTCGAGGGAGAAAATCGCATGCCGAACATGCTTGCATTGTTGCTTAGAGTGGTCAGTAGACTCTGCATTCTGTCAGCGTCTTCACCAAATAGAACTATGTCATCGGCATAATCTAAGCCAACAAGTGGATCTCCCGGTAGAAGTTCAACTCCTGGAAATTTAGATGAGGAAAGCGTCATCTCTAAAAGGACGTCAACGACAAAGTTAAACAAGAATGGAGAGAGTGGACAGCCCTGACGAACACCACTTGAGGTAATCAATTCTGATGACAGTTCACCATAAGCTCTCACTCGACCAGTTGTGTTCGAGTAGAGAGCCTTTATAAGGTTGATGTACTTCTTTGGTACTCCCTTCAGTGACAAACACTGCCATAGAACCTCACGATCAACAGAGTCAAATGCCGCCTTAAGGTCGAGAAATACTACCATTGTGGGGCGTCTGAATGTGTGTCTATGTTCTAGGACCTGACGTAATGTGAATATTTGATCAATACAACAACGTCCAGGTCGAAAACCAGCCTGGTTTTCTCTAGTCTGCTCCTCACGAGATTTAGTTAGGCGTCGAAGTATTATTGAAGCTAATATTTTAGACACTATATTAGTCAAACTAATACCTATGTGATTGTCACAAGAAGACTTTTGTCCTTTCTTATAGACTGGCACAATCAGTGATTGAGACCAGTCAGATGGGATTACGTCCAGTTCCCAGATTCTACCTAAGACCTCAGTCAATCTCGCTGCTAATACTGGACCGCCATCCTTAAAAATCTCAGGGGTAAACCTGTCAGGGTCTGCTGCTCTCCCACGCTTCAGATTTCCTATAGCTTTTTCAACTTCGTAAAGAGTCGGAGGACTTGCATCAACTTGCCATTCAGGTCGACTGGGGATCGTGGGAAACCGAAGTGTGGCTGAAGGCCAGTTGAACTGATCCCTAAAGTATTCTGCCCATCGGTCCAATCTCCTGGATTGAGAATGAATAATATGTCCATCTTTCTCTGCGATTGTTGCGCTAACAGTTGGGTTCCTAATACCGGTTTCCTTAACAAGTCTGAACAGTTGCCTGCTGTTACCTATTGCCGCTGCTTTTTCCATCTCTCTTGCTTTCGCTACCCACCACTGTTCACGATCTTTGCGTAGGCTTCTAGTCAACTTACGCTTAAGCTGACTCCGCTCTTCGTTATGTTCAGAGCCAGATGGAATGAGTTTTCGAGCATCTATCAGTGCGGTAGATGCTGCTGAGATCCAGTGTTTCTCCCTAACCTTATGGTTTACCGTACTTGCAGACATCACTGCTGTTTCTACAGCATTTCGGATGCCATTCCACGCTGCCTCGGGGTGGGCGTCACTTACATGGCTGTCTAACTGTTTTTCTAGATGTTCCTGAAATATACTCTTAGCTTGACTATCATTTAGTAGGACCCCAAAGGGTTTCCTTGCAGCATGTTTCCTACGTCCAGTAAGACGTAGACAAATACGCGCTCGCACTAGAGCATGATCTGAGTCTAAGCATGTGCTCCAGAATGAGCGACAGTCTTCTATCGAGCCCCTCCATCGGTGGCTGATAGCGATGTGATCTATTTGGGTCCAGTGTTGAGACGAATTAGGGGGTCGCCATGTTAAAAGATGCTTTTCTTTATGCTTAAAGTTAGTGTTTGCAAGAAACAGGCGGTTATCTGAGCATAGCTGCAACAGACGGTCACCGTTATCTGTTCTTTGAGCCGCGACACCATAAGATCCACCCAGGTGTCTTTCCCTTTCGCTTAGTTTACCTATTTGAGCATTAAAGTCACCAGCCACTATTACTACATCTGAACGCCTAGCTTTTCGGAGAAGGTCGGAAAGCTTTCTGTAAAACTCATCTTTTACATTATCTGAGCTGCAGTCAGTGGGAGAGTAGGCAGAGACGACGAAAAGGCAACGACGAGTGTCCCTATATTTCCGAGTCCTTACTGTTCCATTTAGTCGGACAGCACACAAACGACTGTCTACTAGGATCCAGTCTAAGAGAGCTAGTTCTGCCCTAGGACTCAATGCTATACCTACGCCAGCAAGGCTACGGGAAGCAGCATCAGGGCTTCCAGATACACGAAGCGTAAATCGGGTTGGTTCGTTACTTTGATATGGTGAGGTCAGATGAATGACACTACTCGGATCCTATGTGCGCGTTTCGGAGACACAGCACACATCGATGGAGCGAGATTCTAAAGTCCTAGCTAAGGAGGCCTGGTGTCCTATTTGGCACAGTGTTCGGACGTTGAAAGCTCCTACGTGTAGTTTAGAGCGTGGTTTCATGAGACCATGAATAACGTTCCGCGTACTTGAATCGTTTGCACTAGCGGTGCCAGGTGATAAAGGAACGTGAGAAGGGTTGGTCGTGGAGATAAGAGAGTTAATAGGAGGTGTAGGAGGGATTTGAATGTAACCAATTCGGTCTCGTATGCTGTTACGGGTATGAGGACTGATGTCACTTCCCGGTTGCCCACACCGTGGAAGGGTATTTCTTGAGGAACCTGAAAAGGAAATCGGATTAGTGTTGGTCTTAACGACCTGGGAGCTTGACCACAGAGCCCAAGGGACAACTGCTTGAGGCCGGTCACGCACGTCCTTTTGTGGGAAGTTTTCACTGTGTTAGCTCCGTTCTTCAAAGGGCTTTACCGCCTGAGACGGAAATCCGTGGGGTAAGGTGAGGTGTGACATTTTTAGGGTCAACCTTTTCTAACCCCTTCCTTCCTTGTGAGAAGGCAGCATCGCTGCAGATGCTGGTTGTCCAAGGGAAACACCTTACTGCTGTCACACCTCTGTACAGTCGGCAGTACGACTTCGCCATCAGACCTTGAGTTGCTGCTTTTAGTCTTACCGTTCTCCAATCGACCTGCCTGGCATGGTAGAACCTGCAGGAACATGTGTTCCAGCCAATATAGCTCGGTTGGGTCATCACGATAGGCAAGCCCGACCACCACGTCAAGGTAGCAGCTACGGTCGGGAAGATAAATAGTAAATACATTTGCGTCACTGTGGATGATTTTGATCCCTGTCAACCAAAACCTCTAGCTATTGATTACGATAAACGTGCAGACACCAACAAGGGAACCGGCATCAACCTATTTGGCTGTTAGACAGCTAATGATTTCTTAGACTAATGCAACGTTTTGGTTTGGATGCCCAAATTTTCATACAACCTACTTCTGCACAATGAAACATCGCACTCCAAGGTAGGCAGTAGTTGTGCGTAAATAATACATATTCCAACTACTTCAGTTAATCAATACTCACTACCTTAACGGCCGATGCCCAATGTTTATTTATAAAAGAATGTCTATGACGAGGTTAAATGGAAATGAAGAAAGTGGGAAGCCTTAACGAACACCGCCCAAGGTTGTCGATTCTCATGTCAGCTAACCATAAGCTCCAATTCAACCAGGATCTTGCAAGCAAACATGTACAAGGTTGATATACTCCCTTGGTACGCCACTTAATGTCAAACTGCCACAGAAACTCTCGATTACGAGTTCAACGATGACTTAAGGTCAATTAATAGAACTATAATCAAGCGGTGGAAAGTATACCCGAATTCGAAAACCTAACAAAGTGTGAATATTTAATCAAGATCTGAAAACAACCCGGTTTTCTCGTTTGCCAGTCGCACACACTATAGGAAGACACTTTGTGAAGGATGTGAATGATAGACTGGCTTAGTAGTGGTCGTAGCGGCCTAAA